CTATAGTTTCTACCAAAAGTTTAATATTAATGCTAATATTAATAAGAAAATACGGTTATTGGACAGTACTACATAATCACAGCGGGTAAAAAGACAGTCCGAACTAAACTCAAACCAATTTGGGAAAAATTAAATTAAATTAAATTTTAAAAAAAATAAAATTAATTAAATAAAATTAAAATTAATTTTAAAAAACACCGTACAAACATGACACGTATACAACTTAAAAAAAACTTAAAAATAAAAACAACAATAAAAAACAAAATGTACATTACCATAATAAAATTTAAAATGAAAAATTTAGCTTAAATTAAATGCAAAAGAAGATAAAATAAATGTATCTTTATGTGTGTCAAATATTGTTTAGAAATATGATTAAATATTGCAATTGCAACTATAACTCCTCTGTGAGGCACTAGGCATTCAAAATAAGTTTAATGAAAATAAATACAAATACAAAATGTAAATTGATGTAGAGGGGCAACACGTTGAGCTTAATTGCACGCTGGAATAATCAGCAGGGCTCAGTGTGATATATGTACATATGTATCACAGTATACTTGAAATGTCTTCGGATTAACAACAAATGGAAAATCGGCCGTTGATCTTCTAAAGAATTAGTAATTCGTTAAAAGGGTGAAATTAAAGACTCTATATGTACTGTATATATATGAAATTCATCTAGTGCTACCGGTAAATGTTTTACACCCACAACAATTAATACAATCAATACATATTTAGCAGTTCGGGAATATTTTTAATGGATCGATAGACAGCACGCCAGAGATATTTTCGTATATTCCCGAATAGAGCTGAATAGTTTGGTACCTTCTTTACAAATACAGCCAATGTGTACTCTCCTTTTTGGACAGAAATGGCTGCAATCTTCTCCGGCGCAGTACTTTTGGCTCATACATACCAGGCTTTTGTTGCCTTGTAATCTTTGACTAAATTCAAAATTTTATGGTAGTCCGACCTTAGACTTTACTGTTAATTAACAATTAATAAAATAACTAAAATACACATACTTTAAATTTCAAGCTGATTTTCTCATTTTTGTTGGAAATAATTGGACTATTCTCCCTGTTTGTTTTGAATTGTAAAGCGAGAGCGAGGAGCCAGTATATGCATGGCATCCTCATTTGTTTTTCAAGCCTCCTAATCTAAGGTGTAGTAAAGTCGGAAACTTTTTGTCTTCTTCGGATTTGCGAGGGTATGCCTGTTACATACGCCGGCACAAGTGCAATACACCCTTTCTCCCTGCCAGTGTTCCCAGTAGCATGGAAGCTATTATTTGCAGACCCCCCCACACACATATCCATTGAGGACTACCCCACACCACCTTGGGTCAACTCCCTTCCCCACCCGCTCCCACCAGCAGCCATCCATTGCTCATGCGAGCGTTTGCTGCTTGGCTCGATGTCCGTTTGCAACCACCCGCCTGGGTGGCGAGGCAGTCGAACATGTTCGACAGCGCACCAATGTGGGCTGTTTGAGCAGGTTCGCACTGCCCACTGGCCTTGTGGGGAGGGTGGGAGGTTGGCAGTGGTGAGGCTTGGTCTCTGCTCTGTCTGCTGCTGTCGCTGGCAGCGCTGCCGCCGCAGCATGTGTGAGGTTCGTTACGGTTCTGCTCGCAGTCGTGCGACTATGGATGCCAATTGAAGTTTCCGCACACATGAGTATTGTATGTGGGGGGGCGGGGGGCGGCCAGGCGGCGTGGGGATTGGTCAGTGGCGCTGGTCGAGAGTGGCCGGCGTGGGTCAGTGGGGGGACTGACGGTGGCCAATGGCGTCAAGATTGGGTCACTCAACTTTCTCTCTATCGCTTTGAGGGCTGTAAGGCGGCACATCATGTGTGTGCGTGCGATTGCGAGTGCGTACGAGTGTGTTCAGAGAGCAAAAGTTCAGAGAGTGTGCAAATGTGTGTGCGTAGCCTGAGAGCGACATCTGGTGTCAGGATCCGTGCCAGTCCGCTCCCCAGGGTATGCAACGGTTTTCGTTCGATCGCTAACGATCTGCCACGGCAGCTGCTGCTGCTTCGGGTGCCTACTTTTAGGGTGTCCTGCCATAAAGTTTATGGCAGCTCACCTGGAAAAAAAAGTGCCACAAAACGAAGAAAAAGAACACACGTCTCGCTTACAGTTTTTGCAATTGTATTTTTGGTTTTTTTTTTGTTTTCTTTCGTATTTTTGTAACACAGACAACTATTTTGTAATTATTAATTCTTAAATTTGTTTGTTTTTTTTCCTTTTCGTATCCATTATTGTTACGTTCAAAAAATTACACACATTTGAAAAATATTTTTTTTTGTTTTACTCGAATTTGTTTTTTTTTTGTTTATAAATTTGACTCCTCGGCATTCCCATTGCTATTGCTCGGCCAAACTGACAACAACAATAAACCCCGTGCTGATGCACGGGATTTTTTTTTTTTTTTACTTATTTCTTTTTCTTCTTTTTTGTCATCTCTTTGTTTTTCTATTTTTTGTCGCTTACGTGGTTTTTTCGTTTATTAAGTATAAAGTTTTCTTTTGTTTGTTTTGGTTTTTTTTTTATAGCTACAATTAATTCTCTAAGATTTAATGATAGTTTTTAGTTTGCTTGCTGGCTATGTTTCGTTTCGTTTCGGTTCATTTCGTTTCGGTATCTCGGTATCGGTTTCCGTTTCAGCTTCATCGCGTTTCTCTGTTTTTGTTTTGTTTTCGTTTCGTTTCGTTTTTCTGTGTGTGTGGAAATCAAATCAAAGTACATACAAAAAGAAAAAGGATCCAATCGCTTCCTGTTCGGGAAGGGGGGGAGGATAGAAAGGGATTCAAGGTTGGTTCAAATAAAACATAATTTGTATGGTTTTTTTTTTAATAGTTTTTCATGGGTTTTTTTTGTTTTTTATTCAGTTTTTCGCTTCATATACGTTTTATTTATATATCTATAGGTGTACTCGTATATCGGGGTATACTCATGTCGGTTGTCTCTGAAACACAATGCATTAAACCTGGTTCCTTAAATTTATCTCATCATCGCTATCGAATTCCATAAATTGTGCACGGTAAACTTCGTTGAGAATTGCAATGCAGCAAAATCCCCGTACCATTGCAGTGCCTTCAGAGCACCTGATGCAACTGCAATAGTAAGGGGATTTCTTTTTTTTGTGTGTGGCGTTATTTTTTTTTTTTTTTAATTGTTGGGGGAAGGACTGATGGGGGGGCTTTTGCAGGACAAACAAAGTTTAAACTAATGTCATTTGTTGTTGCCTTTGAATTTTGTTCACAAACATTTTCATTCTACTAAAAAACAATCAATTAAATATTAATTAAAATTTTGGATCTCAATCTTTTCCTTTTGTTTTTGGTTCAATCAAATAACGAAAATCAACAGCAAAAAAACAATTCATAAAAAAATCTCTCTCTCGTCCTCAACTGTCCGTTCGTATTCTCTGAGTGTGTGTGTCTGTCTGTGTGTGTGTGTATGTCTTTGTCTCTCTTCTGTCCGTGTCTATCCGGTTCCGGTTGACCTTGTCTTTTACAGCAAGAAAACGCATCTCATTTCGTTCCTCAGTTCTTCAGTCTTCTAAAATCTAGTTGTTGTTTGTTTGTTGTTGCTTCGGTATTTTCTCGTTAATTGCTTTCCTCTCTTTACTTTTTTCTTTTTTTTTTCGTTTGCTTTCACTTGAAGTTTTACGTACAAATTTGCTGTTCGCCTTCCAATCATTCACATTTCTAATTTGCATTTCGCCTCGTTTTGTATGGGGGGTTTTCTTATCGTTTCTCTTGATTTTCTTAACTTTTCTTTTATGCTTTGCTTACGCTAAAATTGTTTAAAAAAAATTTGAGTTTTACATTTATATTTATTTATGTATGTAAAAAAATTTGATTATTTTTCGTTTTTTGTTTTCTTTAAATTACATTTAATAATAAAATTTATTTCTAGGCGCAAAAAAAGAATTATCGAAAATAAAGTAAACTAGGGGGACGATGGGGCAGATGGGGGCTGGGAGGCAGGGGGGGGTACTTCTGGTCAACGAAAATCGAATAAAATGAATCAACGATAATCGAGTGTCAGAAGTGTGGGCAAGTGGGCAGGGGTCGAAGAGTTTTTACAAGTGCTCGCCCCTTTCGGAACTCTAGATTTACTACCAAAAAATGTACATCGATGGAAAAAAAAAAATTATATATATATATCCTTCATTCGTTTCATACACAAACACACACGCATATCGCATATGCGATCTCCTATATATAGAGTTATACATACATATATTATATATCATATTCATATTAAGTTAAGTTTTAGAGTATAATTTTTGCTTATTTTTGTGGCTCGCTGGTAGCCTGAATTTTTGTCGTGGTTGATTTTTATTTTATTTTATCGGTTTTGTCCCCCCCTCTTTAGTTTTTTAGTTTTTCTTTCTATAAATGTAGTTTTAGTTGTGTGTGTGTTTTTTTTTTTAGGGTTTTTCATTCGTTTTTTGGTTTTTCTTTCTTTCCCCGTTTTTCTCATATACAAATCCATTAGCTTAGGCCTAAAAATACACTGGAAAATGTGTGTCCACACGATTACTCCTCCTCTCTGTCCCGATAATCGATAGTCGATAACTTTCGATTAGCCATCGTGAGCGATGCATATAAATATACAATAATCTATCGAACTACTTTTTAAATTACAAGCACAAAAAAATTGGGTGATAAAAAAAAATATACATATGTATGTACCTATATATATATGGTTTCACTTTCGTTTCGTTTCGTTTCGATTTGTTTTGGGGATTGGAACAAAAAAAAAAAGTTGGAATCTTTAAAATTATATTACATAACGGTTATTGCTTTGGTATTAAATGCCTCTGGTCGTGTGTGTGTGTGTGTTTGTTTTTTTTTATAGTCGCCTTCAAGGAGCTTGGCTGAGTGCAGCTGGCGGTGTCTCTCGGGAGTGCATGGGGAGCGGGGGGGGGGGGCAATCTTTTTGTAAAAGTTGCAGGGTATCCGTGGGGGCTGCTGCTGCTGCCGTAACTTGATGTCAACTTGGGGCATGGTAAGGGGTGGTAAGGGAACGGGGCTCTATTTACACAGGGATATTGTGGACATCTTTAAAAGATGCGCGACATGATGCGGCTGCGACTGCTGCTGCTGCTGGCCAATTGGTGGAGCGTTGGCGGCGGTGCCGTTACCGTTACCAGCGGTCCCTGCAGCTGCAGGTGCGAGTGAGGATGCGGATGCGAGAGCGTTGAATGGTGGGGATGCTGATGGGGATGTACCGCATGGTGTGGCAGTTGTTGCAAATGCGGGTGTAGGTGCTGGTGTTGGTGTTGGTGTTGGTGTGGCGGGGGTGGCGCGCTGCTCCAGCTGCTAAAAAGTCATGCCTCCTCCTTCAGCGAAATGGGATGCACGGTGAGGCTGGAGGACGCATTCGAGTCGTTGTCCCCGCTCACGCTGCCCGGCAGCGAGAGGTTGTGGCCCCCAACGGAGACCCCAAACTGTGGCGGATACCCCACCACGCCCATGGGGCATGTGGGCGACAGCTGTGACTGCACGGGCATCTGCTGCTTGCGACTGCTGTTGCTGCGACTGCTGGTGCTGCTGCTGCTGCTGTTGGGCGGCCTGGGCATGCTGGGCGGCTGCCTGCAGCTGCTGGGCGGCAGCTTGGGCGGCCTGGGCAGCGGCAACGGCATTGGCGGCGGCTGCCGCCTTGCCCTGGTTCACCACACACTTGCGCATGTGCTTCTCGAGGGTGGAGGGGACGCTGAAGGGCATGTCGCAGAAGCGGCACCGATAGACGTCCTTGCCGGTGCGTCCGTGCGTCTTCATGTGGCGGGTGAGCTTGGAGCTCTGGGCGCAGGCGTAGGAGCACAGCTCGCACTTGTACGGCTTCTCGCCGGTGTGGCTGCGCCGATGGACCGTCAGGTTGGAGCAGTTCTTGAACACCTTGCCGCAGAACTCGCAGGTGTCGTTGCGCTGGCGGCTCTCCTTCTTCAGCAGCGGCCCCTGGATGAGGGCATTGGCGCCGCCCAGGCCCAGGGGCTTCAGCTTGAGGTTCTCGAAGAGCGCCTCGTTGCGGTGCAGGGCGGACATGCCCCACCAGTCGCCGCCGTCCATCTTCATGCGCTTGCTCAGCTCGAAGGGATTGGGGAACGGATTGAAGAGCGGCACCTGGCCGGGCCCGTCCTGCGGCTGCTGGAACATGTTGCAGTTCTTGGCGAACTCGTCCCGCAGCCGGAGCGCGGCCACGGGCAGGCCGTTCATCTTGTCGGCAGCCTCCCGCTCCCGAGGCCGAGCCCGGTCCCGAGCTCCCACCGCGGTTGTTGTTGTCCACGGCTGCAGCTGCGGCTGCTGCTGCGGCGGCAGCTGCCACGGAGGCGGCCTCCTTGCGGCCGGACTCCTGCAGTGCCTGCTTGTACGCCTCGCTGTACTGGGCGATGTTCGAGAGGCCGAACTTGTCCATCAGCTCGCCCACCAGCGAGGTGGCGCCGGAGCTGGTCGTCTTGGGGCTCTGGCTCTTGCCGTCGATGCGGTTGCTCACGCTGAGATCCTCGGCCTTGTAGTCCATGTCCTCGCAGTCGTCCAGCTCGTCCTCGTCCTCGTCGTCGCCCTCGCCATCGGCATCGGGATCGACATCACCATCGGGATCGTTGTCGCCATCGCCATCGGCATCGCCCATCTCCTCCTCGGACTCCTCCTCCGGATTGGGATCCTCGTCGTTGTCCGCCTCGTTCGTCTCCAGCGAATCGGCATTGCTGCCATCGTCGGGCCCATCCTGGCCGTCCTGGTCGTCGCCCGGACTGCGGTGCACCCGCATGTGCTTCATCAGCTTCTGGATGTGGGAGCACTCGAAGTCGCAGGCGGTGCACTTGTACGGCTTCTCGCCCGTGTGCGTCCGCTGGTGGATGATCAGGTTGTTCTCGAAGCGGAACTTCTTGTCGCAGTAGCTGCACGCATAGCAGCTGGCCTGCTCCGCTCCTCCTCCTCCTCCTGCTACGCCCACCACCTGGCCGAGATTGAGGCCTAGACCGAGGCCGCCCAATCCGCCGGCACCGGCACCGGCGCTGCCCTTCGACGGCGGCGTACTGGCCGAACGCGGAGTGCTGGCGAGGGCGAGGCCGAGGCTGCCCAGGCTGCCGTTCTCGGAGCCCGCATCCCCGCTCTTCTCCGGGGGAGTCAGCGAGTGGGGCCGCTGGTGGTGGTGGTGCTGCTGGTGCTGGGCTATCTGGGAGGGCGAGGGGCTCGCGAAATGCGGCGATTGCTTCTGTCGAGGACTCGGCGAGCTCGAGTTAACAATGCTGCCAGCTCCAGGGCTTGTTGTGCCCGCAAGCTGACGCAATCGCTGCGAGTAAAAATCCATCTGCTGCGGTTCCAGCTTCAGGGAGCCACTGCCTCCGCCTCCGCCTCCCACCAGACCAGGTGTGGAGGCGCCTCCTGCCTGCTGTTGCTGTTGCTGCTGCTGCTGTTGCTGCTGGGAGCTGAGAGACGGCGGTGGCAGGGCGGCGGGCGGCACGGATCCGCGCTGGCTGCCGCTGCTGGAGCTCGAAGGTGGACGCGGCTCGCCACTGGCGACGGTAGGAACATTGGCGGACACATTCAGCTGCTGTCCTCCCACCTGCCCGTTGGCATTGAACTGTGCCTGGGCGGCGGCGGCGGCGGCTGCCAGATTGAAGCCGTGATGCCGGAACTGTTCGCTCACCAGCTGCTCCATGCGGTAGTGGTCGGCGGGCGAGGGGCGGCCGTGCCCGAACAGTGGCGCCACGCTAGGAACTACATTGCCCTGGGCCAGCGCCGGCGGCAGGGGCATGCGCAGCAGCTGGAACGGATTGGCATGCATCGACTCTGGCGGCGCCAGCAGCGGATGGTGACGCATTCCGGCGGCCATTGCCGATGCGAGGTTCTCGCGCTGCTGCTGCTGCACGCGCTGCTGCTGCTGTTGCGCCGCCTGTTGCTGCTGCTGTTGCTGCTGCTGCTGCTGCTGCTGTTGTTGGTGCAACTGCAATTGTTGCTGCTGCTGCTGCTGCTGGGGGACGAGGCGCTGATGCTGACGGCGCTGACGCTGCCGTGACTGGCGTGGCTGCCGTGGCTGCTGTTGCTGCCGCCGCTCGTGTTGGCCAGCGACGCGGAGGATGTGGAACTGACGGAGGTGGACAGGGAGACGGAGCCGACTCCCGCTCCAGCGGGGCTGCTGCGCTTCATCGCTGCCTCAGCGGGCTGTGGACTGTGGCCAGCCGCAACGGCGGCAGCGGCTGCTGCAGCGGCTGCAGCGGCGGCCAAGGCGCTGTTATTGAGGGCGGCGGGCGTGGCCACGGTGAGGGTGGCAGCGGTGGCGCCGCCAGTGGCCTCCACATAGATCTTGACGCCGTGCGAGTGCTGGACGTGCTGGATGAGGCGCCACGCGGATGTGTAGCGGGTCTTGCAAGTGGAGCATGTGTAATTGCTGGGTTCTGCAACGGAGAGGAAGAGGTACCGTGATTAGTGACGGAGTCTAGACCACAAATATTCCAAATATTAATTATAAATTGGGGGGGGGAGGTGTGAGGTAGGGGAATGGGGGCACGGAACACATTTATTGCGTGTGGCATGTGCCGAATGGGTTTCCCAGGCAGCGGCAGTGGCAGCGGAGATTGCCAATATTGCCTAGGATATTGCCCACATTGCCACACACATCGGGGCACGTCCTGTATGTCCTGCGTGTAGTTTTCGTTGCGGTTTTGTCGCGACATTTGTTAATTTGCCATGGAACATGCAACATGGGGCAGGCACGGGCACGGGCACAGGCAAGGGCACCGCAAAACGTGAAATCGGAAAATCGCTCACCCACCACACACCACCCACCCACCTATGGGCATGTGGCTGTGGCATGTGGCAAGTGGCATGTCCTGCCAGGACACGGACACGGACACACACGCAACAGATGCGCCATCCGGGGGAAAATGAAAATTTATGAAAAATGTGAAATTTCTAATAAATAAAAAATACAACAACAAAAAATCGAAAAAATATCAGCAGCAGCAGGAAGAAGAATATAATAATAATAAAAAGCGAAAGGCACTTCCTAATCGAAGGCGGAAACCACATGTCGCCAGGACAGCAGCAGCAGCAGCAGCAGCAGCGCACTGGCGGTGGACAGACAAGGTGTTAATGCCCAACTATTACCGAGCGATGGGGTGGGGCGGTGTGGGGCAACTACCCCCGTTGGATATGGCGACGACGCACTCTGCATTTAAATGACGCTTTAAAACGGTTTGCCTCCTTCCTCCGAACTCTAAAAAAGGAAAATTCCCAAAAATATATATAAAAAAAAAAAAAAAAGAAATTGAAAGGAAGAGGAAGAGGAAAGGAAGGAGGAAAGGAAGCGCATGGAGGAGGAGGCGGAGGGAAAACGCCTGACGCGCACGAGACACTACCACGGGGTTAAGCAGGACACGCATTCTCCACACTTTTCCTTTTTTTTTTTGTTTTGGGTTTTTTTGGGTTTTTTACTCCCGTATTTTTATGACGTTACGCGCGACAGGACGAGGCAGCTTCCTCTGTCAAAGGTGAGGCATGTTGAACATGATTTTGTCGCGACCCTTTTCTGTGTTGTTCAGGGGATCGGGGATCAGGGATCACAAGGATCAGATCAGAGAGGGGATCGGCTGGCTGGCTGGCTGGCTGGCTGGCCCCGCATGTAGCCTGCCGCCTGCCGCACGTAGCGTAGCAGGAAATGCAAATGAATCTGACAGACAATTCATGCTTCGTTTTCATCCCCCTTTTGTGAAGGGTTGCGCATGATCAGCCGCAGCACACGATCACGATCCGTTCCATGCCGCACATGCCGTATATAACCATCATCATTATCATTATCGGCATAAAAAAAGAGGTAAAAGTTGTCGAAAAACATCGGGCATTTGATCCTCGAAGCCCGATCAGATCCCAGATCCCTTTTTTTTTGTCGTAGACCCGCGCAAAGCACGCGCCAAAGGGATACGCCCTGGAAGGTGGAAGGTGATGTCCTTTGTTCGCAGAGAGCCACGAGTGCCACGTTCTGATTCTGTCAGCTGCTCATCTCAACTCAACTTAGAACCAGAATCAGAAGCGGGACCAGAACCAGGACCAGCGACAGTGTCCCTCTCTGCCCGCTAAGTCGCCTCCTGCCTCCCTCCCGCTGCTTTGATGCTTGCGGGTGGAGGCGACTCAAGTGACCGTAAGACGGAAGCTGGTGGCAAACAAAGCCATCAAGTTGCCACAGGAAATGGCAAATTGACCGCCTGCCTGCCTGCCTGCCTGCCTGGCTGGCTGACTGGCTGCTGCACCCGCTCCACGTTGCGTATGCGAGATGCGGAGGAGCAGCAGGGGGCAGGCGGGTTGGCTGGCCAAAAAAAGAAAAAACCCACACACACACACACACACACACACAGAAAAGGAAAGCAAAAAAAAAGGGTTCCCTGTAATGGGATAATTGTTGCAGCTTTGCCAACTGTCAGCATCCCGGGGGCCATGGGCCATGAGCCATGGGCCATGGCATCCTCGAACGCATTTGCATGGCTCTTACTGGGAGAGTCGACCTTTTGCTTAAGCCCTTGGCTGTATCCTTTTCCGCTCCCTCTCTCTCTCACTTTGTGGCAACACACACACAGACACACAGACAAAAGGAGCCAGCCAGCCAGCCAGCAGCTCTAATCCTTTGAGGCCAAGGGGAAGCAGCCAGGCACAGGACGTGAAATTGCATGAGCTGTGCGCATTAGCCATTGATTCGGAAAGCAGCAGAAAGCAATGGAAAGCTACTACACAGTACTAGTATGAGTGGGATGGATGCCCCAGCGTATCCCATATCCCATATACCTCGTGTGTCCCGGGGTCAGTCGTTTTTTGTTAAGGACACTGGCTTAGTGCCAGCATGAGTCAATAATTGAATGGCCGCATGCCTGATGCCTGATGCTCTCTGTGTGGTTTAAGCCGCATGCTGTATTATCTATCTGACCCTTAACCCTTTTGGCGACCTTCACTCAACCACCTCATCCTCATCCATATGGTGGGTGGGGGAGGCAGGAGGAGGAGTGTTGATGGTGTTTCATTGTCATTGCGGTCGCGACATGCTGTGTGCCACCAAATTGATAATTAACACTCACACTGCCACTTACTGTGGCACTCACATTCGCTCTGTGATTCGCTGACAGGTGAACCCAGCGTGGAGCGTTTGCCAGCAAGCACAACAAGACATGTTGCAACATTTGCAACGAATATCCATTTTGTTGACAGTTTGTTCGTTTTATTCATTCGCGTTTTTTGTTTTCTGGTTGTTGTTTCTTTTTTTTTCGCTTTTGCTGTTGTTGTCCAGGATCAGATCAGACGGACAGATGGATGGATGGATGGATGGATGGATGGATGGTTGGTTGGTTGGTTGGTTGGTTGCCATGGCATGCCCCTTTGGCCTCACTGCCTCACTCTCTTCACGTTTATAATTACCAAATGGCCAACAATGAATGGCCCTGCCACTCCACTCCACTCAGCTGGGAGGCAAAAGGAGTTGGGTTGGACAGGCAACACAGAGAAAGGAAAGAAAAGAGCGACAAACAAAAATAAAAGACAGACAGCCAGAGAGACAGAGAGAGAGACAGAGAGAGAGGAGAGAACGTAGCGGAAAAACAATGCGTAATTAACGCGGGGATCCCCCCAGTCGTAACTCTCTCCCTCTCTCTCCACATCCGCGCTTCCATCTGTATCTCGGTATCTGTGTATCTCTGTATCTCGGTATCTGTGGCTGTGCGTTGAAAGGCTGTCAGTTGTCGTTCGTCGTTTTGTCGCTCGTCGCTTGGCATTGTCGGAGTCAAACAACTTTGTTGTATTGTCACTGACTTTTGTTATTGTTGTTGCTGTTGCTGTTGTTTTTTTCGTGTTCATGTCACAAGCGCAGAAAAGTTCAAGGGTTAAACTGTATGTGCCGTTGCATGTATCTGTATCTGCGTATCTCGTATCTGTAGCTGCGCGCATCTCCTCCCATATGATGCTGATGGAGGTGCGGCGCCTTTTTTGTCTTGTTTCGGTTTTAAACCGATGACCGATGACCACTGCCACGCGACCGTTTACCTGTGCTCAGTGCCTCTGTTCTCTGTTCTCTGTTGTCTGACCTTTGACCCACGAACCACGCACACAAACACGCACACACACACACACACACAGAGTGAGATCATGGCACGTGTCCAGCTGAAAAAACTGTTGACCCCTTCCCCCCACTGATTCACTGATTCTTCGCCGCTCTCCTTTGTGCGTATGTCAAGTCCAGTGCCCGCTTGTGTCCGCTTGCTCCCCAGTGCCATATCCTTTGTCCAGTCAAGTGGCTACCCACCCCACCCCCCTCTGCCGTGCCCACTGTGGCACATTCCTTCGCCTCCTTCGGCTGCTGTCAGAATGAGCTTCTGAGTCTGAGGCGGCATTCAAATTACCCTCGAGGCCCAACCTCGGAACACAGACAAGAGAGAGAGAGAGGCTTTGTTCCGTCCGTCCTTAACCCTCTTTCTACCCTTCTACCCAACCCACCATGTTACTCTGCCCCTGCCCCTGCTGATCTGCTGCTGCTTTTCTCTGCTTTTTTCTGTCGTATTTTTATTGCTGTCTTTGGCTTTTCATCATCATTTGCATTGAAATGTCAAAGTCAAAGGGTAAGGGAATGGAATGGAATGGCATGGCATGGCATGGCATGGAAGTTCAACTGCGAATGGAAGATGCCAGTGGATGGGATGGGGATTGGGGCTTGGGATTGGGTATGGGAAGCTTCGATTGTCCCCTGTGTCCGAGTGTCCCTGCCTCTCGCTGCTGCTGCTGCTGCACTCTCCGTGGCTATCAGAGAGCGCTGCTGCTGCTCCTGCTGCTGCTGCTGCTGTTGCGCTTTGATGTCCGTCCATCCAGTGTCCGCATCCGTATCCGCACTGCTTCCTTTTTTTGTTTTGTTTTTACTTCGCGGACGGACTGCAGCTGCAGCTTATCGCTGAGGGCCCGCGGCCCGATCAGCATTGCGACTTATCCAGTGCCACTGCCACTGCCACACTGCCACTGTGGCAGTGCCTGTGCCGCCCTTTGTGTGGCACACACATCAAACACATTTTTTGCCCGTCACAAAAATTGTTCCGCATCTACTCTCTGCCTGTGTGCCCCTGGTCAAAACTCTCACCCCAAGAGGGGGGGGGGACTAGGTGGCACTTTGTGAATTTTAATTTTGCCACCCAAATATGCGGCAAGAATGGGCACATCACCAAGGGAGGGAGGGGGAGGGAGGGGGTACATGTACCATGTACCATGTACTGTGTGGCATGGGACACTCACCTGTGTGGACTGTGTTGGCCTCGGCATCGACCAGCTCCATTTTGGGCCGCTTGGCCAGGGGCTGGCAATCGGCAATCACGGACTGCTCCTGCTGCGATCCAGCCAGATGATGGGGGGGCATCTCCTCGTCGCCGGCATACGGCTCCTGCTTGACCTTGGGCGTGTGTGGGTGCTGCTCCTCGTCAAGCAGATCGCAGCTGATGTCGCTGGCCGCCTGACGCCCAATGGCCGCCGGACTGCCGCGCATTGATGCCACTGTGGTGGCCGCCGCCTCGCTGTCCTTGGGCGTTGTGTTGTCGTTCTCTGTGGATGGCGAAGGGGGAAGGGAGGAGCGTCAGTAATGTTCAGAATCTGCATCTGGTCCGCCGATTACTCACCGTCAACGAGACGCTTGGGCGTGCTGCTGGCGCCATCGGCCAGCAGATCAGCGGGACTTGGTGGCGGGGTGTGTATCCGGGAGCCGCTGGCCGTGCTGCTGGCCGCCGCCGCTGCGGCTGCTGCTGCTGCGGCAACGGCAACGGCCGCTGCCGTGGCCGAGGCACCGCCAGCACTGCTGACCACAACGGATGGGGCGGACTTGCGACCTGTGATGGGTATGGCCGAGATCGAGGGCCGGCGATTGACCAGGCTCAGGGGGCGGCCCTCCTCCGTGTCGCGGTCCATCTGGGGACCCTGCGTGGAGCACTGGCCATAGTTCTCCTTGTTGCACTGCAGCACCTTGTGCTGGATGAACTTGACAATGTCCGAGAGGGCGAATGCCTTCTGGCAGGCGCCGCACGTGAGGATGTCCTGTGCGGCAACCGCATCGTTCTCTGTGGAGTCGGAATCTGCGAATAGAGAGGAGAGTGGCGGCGATGAGATTCGGGCTTAATGGGCTCTTGTTACACATTTAAGTTCATAAATATTCGCCCGATTCCGCCAATTGGCGACCCGTTTTATGGCCATCGAATGGTGGCCATCAATTCTGGCTTAATTCCAGCAAGGAGCCAGGGAGAAGGACAGCAGGGAGCCAAGAAGAAGGACAGCAAGGAAGAGGCCCGCCCCAAATGGAAGCCATTCCGCCGCCCAGGAATGTGGCATGTGGAATTGAATTTACTGTATCCCTGTATGTAGCACTCGAATGACAGCAAAGGGGGGGAGGTTAAGGGGTGATGGAGTATCCCTAATTTAGTTCCTTGGCTGCCTCTTCATCTGCGACTTGCCTGCTTAATTCTGTCATTTTTATGGGGCACGCCACCAATTGCCTGTCGATTGGCGTTGCATAATTTGTGGCGGGTGGAGCACTGGGCGCAGGAGGGGGAGACATTGCCACACTTTAATAATCGCATGTGAGGCCCCCCCCCCACCCCGGACAGTGCTTAAGGTGCCGGATACAATTTTCCGCTATATATTTTTTGCAAGGATAATTTATCGCCAGCACCCACTGATGGCTTATAACGATACCGATACCGATAGCTCTGGCGCTCCAATTAATTTGTGGCAACAAAAGAAAGAAACTTTCAAAAAAAAACACCCACCAAAAATGCCAATCCATGGCAACCCTCCTCCTTCTGCTTTTGCTTCCTCTGGTTTTTGGCACAACTTATTTGCATTCTCTCTCCCTCTGTGGCAGATAAGCAGATACTACAACAGAGGGAGGGGAGGCGGAGTGGGAGTGGGAGTGGCAGTGGGGAGTGCACTTTAATTTATTTGCCTGAGAGCTGTGTGTCGCACGCCTTCTGCCTAAATGCCAGAAACAACAATAAAAATTCTGAAGGGAAGGGAACGGAAGGGAACCCTCCGCGAAACGAAACGAAACTTCAGCTGATTTCAGGCCGCATTATTTGCATACACATGTGTGGCTGTGGCAGCAGTGGCAGCAGGGGCAGCAACAGTGGTGCTTTTTATTTATGTTTGGCAATAGAGCGAAGGAGGCGGGGGCAATGGTGGTGGGATTGATTGTGGTGCATAGTTTTGCCCATAAATTCCAGTGGCTCAGCTAAAATTGCTTCGCCTGCAATTAATTCGCAGCGCAATGAACTGATTGTTGCCACTGCCCCAGCCACATCCACAGCCACAGCCTGTGCTGCTGCTGTTGCTGCTGGCCTCTGTGGGCGGTTGTCATGGCTTATCTGTGCCCAGAAATTAGCAACACCAGCAACACAACACAACACAACTCTCGCATATCCTGGGGCGGTCCTGCCAACTTTTGTGTGTGTGTTGCCCGATTCCTTTTCATCGATGGAACTTGATTGACCGAACAAACTTCTGGCAGAGACCCCACACAATCCAAATAGAATAGCGAAGGAAGCCATGCCCCCGGGGGCCACATCCCCAGCTCCCCTCCACTGTATGTGGGGGGGAAATAAAAACTTCAAATCGAAATCTCACACAAGTTTTTTTGTTTGTTTGTTGTAAAGAATAAGAGTAACATATATTTTGTTGTTGTTGTATTGTCTCTGGATATATTTCACATATATATTTTATTTTGTATGCCATAAAACTATGGCTATGATTATAATGATCTTTAATCTATGTTGGGGGGGTGGGCATATCGATATCACACACTCAATTACCGCTACTGCTGCTCCGCCTGTGTCTGCCAATCAATTAGGAAATATATCTATGAATTATTGACTCCCTGTCGCGTTTTGCCACTTGTCCTGCCTCATCCCTCATGCCTCGTGCTACGTGCCTCCTGCCTCATCCCTTGTCCATTTTTTATGTCCAGTTTGAAGCAATTTGCGGTTGTGGGCCCTGGTTCCCCTGGTTCCCAAACAATAACTAATGCGCCCTAAGCATTTGATCATCTCTCATGAAACTTTTGCCATTGTCCGTGACCGCACAGCCGCAGCCACAGCCGCACTTCTCCACTCCTCTCTGGCTTTTCCTCACTGACTTTTCCTTCCTCATACATACATACATATATATATATATTTTTTTTTTATCAATTGATTGTTCGGGGGAGGGGGGTGTGTGACACACATATGACATGATGTTGTTTTCGGTAATTTTTGCTGATTGCCTGGGCGGCCCCTTTGCCCCTTGCCACAATTTTCGCTTCATTTCGATTTGATTCGGTTTTGGGTTTTCCTTTTCCTTCCTTTTATTTTTTTTTGGGTTTTTTGTTTGGGTTTCAGCAAAAAAAAAAAAAAAAAAAATATGTTCTTTTTTTTTTTTTTTTGGTGTACCGATGATGATGATGATGATTATTGTATTTATTGATTGGCGATCATTGGCGTGAAATCGATGCGGCTTGCAATTGGCCCAAAAGACAGAGCCAGACACAGGCACAGACACAGAGACCGACCCCTTGCCCGGTTACTGCCGTTACTGCTACCTGGTTTTTTTTTTGTTTTACCTGCTGCACGTAGGCGTGGCCAGAGACAGGGACAGTGGAACAGTGGCACAGAGGCACAGGGGCGTTGCCTGCTATTTGCCTAAGCGATTAGATTAGATGTTTGTCCAGAGATTAGCCTGCAAGTAGGGGTTAAGGGGGAGTCCATGAGGAGTCCATGAAAGAACAAAGACAGCAAAATACTTATTGACAGCCGCCGCAACAGCAACAGCAGCAGCAGCAGCAGCAGCAGCATGCAATATTGCGCCGCCAGCTGAAGAGGGTAGAGACCGATAGAGCAGCTGCTTCTGCTGCCCAGAAAAAAGGTGAAAGGGTGGCAGTGCTGATGGCGGTGGTGGTGGTGCTATTTGTGGAGCTGTCAAATGTCAGACAGCGGTGCTGACAGTCCGCCTGACACAAGTGTCAACAGCACCAGGGTTGCCACTGCCACTGCCACTGCCATGTACATGTGCGATTGCGAATGCTCTCTAAGCCAAAGCCGCGGCCAAAAGTCATAAATTGCATTATCTTTTGGCATAGAGAAACCCTTTGCTTTATTTTCTTTCTCTTCGCTTGCCGGAACCGAAACCGAAACCGAAACTGGAAACCCTTGACCAGATTGAATTGAGAGACGGCGACGCATCAAATATATTTCCATCAGAGTGCCATAACTGGTGCCTGGCGCATAAGGATACAAATACGACGACGAGTATTTATTGTATTTATTGTATTTATTGGTGCTGTGTGATGTCATACGCATCCGCATACTTCTGCCCCATCCCCCTCCAATTCTTCCTTCGGGATATGTGTAATTAATTCATCCACCCTCTCAGTTAGCCCAGATCCCTTTTTGGGTGAATATAAATTGAAATGCCGTCGATTTGTTAGCCGCGTCTCGGCTTAAGCCAAAAATATTTACGAGCTGCTACCATTTTTGGTAGGGGGGCGGGAGGCCATTCACTGCACTGGCACTAGGCACTGGCGCAGGACCAGCAGCCCTCAAAGTAGCACAATTAAGAATTAACATATTAATAGAAGTTTTGCGCAAATTATCAGCGACAAGAAAATATGAATCGCACTCCCCCCCCACCAGAGACACTCCTTGGCTTCCTGCCTCCTTGGCTCCCTGGCTCCTTGTGTGTAGATATTTTTGTTATTTATAACATTTTCATGTTATTGACTGGCCCCGCGGATACCGCAGGAAGAGTGGGGGAGTGCTGGCGAGTAGTTGGAGGCGTGGCAAACAGAAAACAATACGTTGATTGTGCTAATTTATGCCCCCATCCGTGGCACAATCCCTGAGACACACACACACACACATGAGCACTCCTCTTTGGCAGCAAGACAGAGTCGAAGGATTCGAAGGATTTGGTTTTATGGCCAAAAGGTTATGTGGGAGGAGGCCATCGAAGTGGGGTGGTGTGGGGTGGGGTGGGGTGGCTGCTAGTGTGTATATGGCCATAAAAACCAGGCAGCGAACGCCACATGGTCGTCCTTCTGGTTCTCGTCGGCTGTTTTTAGGTGCTCCTGTCGCAGGGAAACCCAAATGAAAAATGGCGTCACGGCGTCACACAGAAAAACTGGACCAACTATCGAAGGAGCGGAGCGGCAGAGAGGTGGTGGCGCCAGAAGAGGGGCAGCAGCAGTAGAGGGCTCAAGGTTCAATGCGAAACCCTTGAAGAGCAACGCGCGGACTCTCTTTAAAGACAGGATTTGGGGCTACAGATAGAAGGTAGGTAACAGTGGAAGATATCCTTGGGATAAATATATATTTCAGCCTGTCAATCACTACAGAAATTCGCAATGCGAGAAAAGGCAGCGAAAGCGAACGGATTGATCACCGAATGTGAAACCAATTAAAATATGACGCCAAGTGCTCCACTTCGTTGTCTTTTGGGTTAAATAAAAAAAAAACACAACAAAAGGCCGCCAGAAATGCTGTGTAAATATTCAAAAAATGGTGCCTGTGACTGGTGTTTGTTTTTTTTTTTTTTTTTGCTGGCCAACTCATTTAAAAAACACCCAAAAAATACAAAAAAAAAAAAAAAAAAAAAAAAAAAGGTTAAACAAATTCGAAAATTCTGTACGTTTTTCTCTGTCGTTATATATTTTGTTGCACGAACGACAGACAGATAACAACACACACACACACACAGTGTCTGCGGGGGCGTTCGTGTCTGTGTGTGTGTGTGTCCATTACACACACAAATAAGCAATAAGTATATATTTTTTGGTGTTTTTTTGACAGTGACAAAGCGACGTCAGCAGCAACAGCAACAGCGCCACAGAGCTGGGCAGCTGGAAAAAAAAACAACAACACCAAAGTAAAGGCGACTTAATTTGTTTAAACAAATTACACACACACACATGCATATGTACATATGTATGTATTATCAGTGGAATGGAAAGGTGTTTAGCAGCTGAAACTATAACAAACACAGCGGCTACTCCCACTCCCCCTACCAATCCCACTCGCAGCACTTCCACTTCCCAAGTCCCGCCACAATGATTCCTCTTGTATAGGCTGGCCCTGCCTCTCTCTCTCTCTCGATTCTCCTCTGGGGGCTCTCTCCCTCAGTTCTCTTATCAACAGAAAAAGGCCCTTCGCAAAGTGTTTTAGCATACAAAAATTTGGTTTTATTTGCCCAATGTCCGCCCCGAGCGGTTCCGCTCCTCACAGCTGGAGCTCTGAAGCTCTGTAGCTCTGTAGCTCTGGAACTTTGAAACTCTGGAGTGGAGCTGCCGCGGAGCTGCGCTGCAGCGGTCTGCTGTGGTTCAGGAGGGTGGCAAAAGAAGCGGTTAGCCAAAAGCTAGAGCGCTGACTGCTGATAACACCCGCATATGTGTGTTTGCCCCACGATTGCGTTTGAGGAGGAGGAGTAGAGCCACACGGGTAAGGTAACGCGTATCTGGACAAACAAACAAGCAAACAAATGAACAGCCAACGGACCCGTACCCAAACTCGTACCCGTAACCGTAACCGTGGCTATGGGCATTGGGATATGCCATGCCGCCAGGCCAGGTTGAGTGAATGAGCCATATGCAAATATGGGCGGCAGCGGTCGCGGCCTGGAATCAGGCATTAACATAGCATTAGCATATAGCATGTGTCTGTGTTGGTATCTCTCTCTGTGTGTGTGGGGCAAAGCTGGACACACATGGCCAACTGATAAGCCAAAAGGAAATGAGAACAAGGCGAAAGACATGACAAACAAACAAAACAAAAAACAAAAAACCAAAGAAAAATTTCAATGAAATTAAGAACAAAATGTGCCACCCAAAAGGCAGGGCAACGAAATTACTTGCCAAATAAATTTAAGGGCAATCGGCTAAGTGCAAAATTTCGATTATTAATCGATGAAATTGCAAATGTTATGGAAGAGGAGTAAAGAAAAGATATGTGGCCCCAAGAGTGATTAAAGATATATTTTTTTTGCAAAGGGGCATAAATTTTGATGACACCTCAAAGATAGTTATTTCCCAAATTAAAGAGTCCTTCGGCAGTCGTTCGATATCCGGAAAGCTAAGCTTACGACTGACTGTACCCTCTTGGGTGGCAGAAGATTTCCCCGCTTGCATCAGTGGCAGTGCACTCCTTTCCTTTTGATGTGGCGACCACTTCAGGTTGCTTGAGTCTGTATCTGTATCTATCTGGGAATTCTGCTCTCCTGGACAAGGGTCCACCAAAAGGCCGCCGCCGCTGCCGCTCTATTTGCCCAATGTACAGAATGTATCCATTGTTGTGCGAGTAGTACTCTCATTTTTTGATAAGACATGTGGTTTGGTTTGTGTAAGTTTTACTTTTCGTTTCATTCTCCTTTTTTTTTTTTTTTTTTTTTTTGTCGCTAAAATATTTGTTTTTGTGTTTGTATTGTGAGGCAAGGTGCTCCGTGGGGGCGGAGAGGGGGAGAGTGTGCGTGTGTTTTATTTCCCGAAAGTCAACGACAGCCACAGCCACAGCAACGGACATATGTAAATAGCTGCGATCTATATATGTACATATGTATGTATGTTTGTGGGTAGTTGGGTAGGTATGTAGGCAGATGGTACGGTACGGTGCCCCTCGCTGTACAATAAGTAGGTCTACGTACTTCCCATTCGTCTGGGGCTTGGCTCTGGCTCAGGCTATGGCTATGGGGCTATGTGGTTGTGGGTGCGGGCGTTGGCTTATTGCTTTGGCTTTTGGTGTTGCTGTTTTTGTTGTTGTTGTTGTTCCCAGTACAAGTCCGCTTATCAAAAATTGTCCGCACATTTGCCTGTTGTATCTATTTGGGGAACCACAGAGGCAGTGGCGGTGGCAGAGACGGAGACGCAGCACCGGCAAATGATTAAAGAAAGAGAACAGACCAGAGACCCATTCGAAAGAACAGGAAGAACACACGGACTGAGTGGAGTATGTTCCCAAGAAAAATTCCAAGAAATTCTGCGGTTATCTGCGGTTGGTGGTGCAGGGGGGGCGGGCAAGATACATGCGTTGTGTTTTTGGTCGCTTATTGGGAAATGTTCTTGGACCGATATGATGGTATCTATCGACTCCCCCCCGGCCATAAACCAATTGCAAGCCAATTCTCCGTTAGAGATCGTAACCCCCACAAAGCATGGTGGGGCAGGGTGGTAGGGGTTTTATTTTTGGACACTTACGACTCAGCGAACGGAATCCATGATCCTCGCTGATCGACAGCATTTTGTTGTACATTGTGTATGGCGGCTCCTTCGGCTCCACAAAAAAAAAAAAGCGATTTCGTTTTGTCTTTTTGTTTTTGCTTGGATTTGCTTCACGGATTTCTTTTCGTTTTCTTAACACATCACAAATGTTTTTGTTTTCGGCTTGATTAAAAAAAAATGTTTTTAGTTTTAATAATAATAAAAAAAAAAGTGCAAATGGGGGAGGCACTGGGGGGTTAGGGACACACACGATCGTAGGTAATCCAAGTGTCCTGCGTGTGGTGCTGTGTGTTGGGGGCTTTGAATCGGAAACACTTTCACGGGCAGGCGACACGAATCGGTTGGCGGTTCAATCGGTTAACGGTTAAACGGTTATGTTTGGTGCCACAGGATCTCAGTCTCTGTTTTTTCGATGGAAGCGCATTTGCAAGGGCAGAGCGCGTGTGTTGTTGACCCCTCAGAGGCTTCACGTGGACTGACAATTCGATGTCTTCCTGTGACGGTCGTCCACACGGTCGAGTCGAGGTCGGTCGCAGTCTCAGTCTCAGTCCCCGTCCCGTCCCTCAGTCGTCCACGGGGCCCGGTCCTTTCTCTCCCCACACCCCTTCTCTTCACTGTGTGTGTGTGAGAGAGGCTGTGCGTTCGACGCTGACGCTGACAGAGGCAGCAGCGGCAGCAGCATAGTTTTTTTTTTTTGTATGTTCCAGAGTCCGGGGGCATCAGCAGCAGAGGAGAGCATAAAAAAAAACGTGTGGTAGCCACCACTACACACACGCACACACATGCAGAGGGGTTGTTGCTGTTGCTGTTGCCACTGCCACTGCCACCGCTGCTGCCTCTGCCACTCTGCCACACTCCACACTGCCTCTCTCTCTCTCTCTCTTGCGGCCATGTGTGCGTATTGCGAGTGGACCTCAAGGAAACAGGGGGATGAAAACATCTTTGGACCGACGACCGACGACCGACTGGCCCTTGCTGTCAGCGCCAGCGCCAGCGTCAGCAGCGACTTCGACTTCAGCTTCAGACGTCAGCGTCGCTGCCCTGCGTTGGCGCTCTCTCTCTCTCTCTGCCCCCCGACCACCCCCTCTCAGACGTTACCCTGCTCTACATATGACTGTCCGTCTCCGTTTCCGTCTCTGTCCGCTGCTAATCGCTGCCCCGAAAATTGAGTTGTTGCTGCAGCCACCAGCCATCAGACGATGGACGGAGGGTGGATGGGGGCCAGAAGAGGGTTAAAGGAACTATCCCAAAGAGCGAGAGAGTGAGGGAGAGGGAGTGGTAGAGACAGAGGGCGAGGGCGAGGGAGAACGAGTTAAGAGACCAACATACGATGACCAATGGCAATGGCCCACCCAAAGGGCAGTTTTCCCTTCCCATTGGGAGATGGTCAGTGGCCCGAAAGAGGATGGGGGATGGGGAAGATCCTACAATGGAACCCAATAGACCGCAGAGCCCCCCACCCATGAAGAATCACTTGAATGATAAATACATAACGAGAGTCCGAGATCTGAAGAGCTCTTCGAGCCATAAACAATCTTAAATGAAACCCACACAGAAATAATATACATATATATGATAGGTACAGATAGCCAACCCACACATACATCTATTTATATATCAGAGATCCACAGCTATCATTATTATTATTATAAAGTTCTTCGGCAAAGTCACGAATGCATCTTCTATATATCTATATTGTATATATCCCTAAATCAATTATTATTTCTTGGATCCCTCAATCAATCCAATATCTAAATAAAATGGTAAATTGGGAGGGTTAGTCCAGTCATTGGCAGGAGGGTAAATCATTATTTGTTCAACATTTTTGTAGGAGTAGATACAACTCATATTTGAGCTTAAATTAGTTGCACAAGATGGTAATGGCAATTGGCTAATGAAAACCATTAATTTAATGATAAAATCATTTTCTTGTTCTAAGATCTCCACTGCAATCCTCTACTCCCACTACTCCGCTTTCATTCTATAGTTGGGATCTCATTTTCCCATGCCAGATCATATGATAGCCTCGAAGATCTTCAGATATTTCCATCGTGCATATGCACATAGTTCTGTGAGCTATTTATGGAGACAATGCTCCAACCAGATCCTGGCCTGCTGTCCCTCTGCTCTCCCTGGCTCTATGTGTCTCTTTCCTTCGCCCTTTGCACAGCATTGGGATGTGCGCAGCAGCAGCAGCCTCCCCTGGACCCCGGGGATCTTTTGTGTTGAATGCCGCATCGCATCGCATCGCGGAAGCTGCGCAATAAGTGTGGCGACCAGCCCTTCTCCCATTCTCAGTCCCCTTTCCTGATCTCCCTTCTCCCTTTCCAAATCTCCTCCTTGCTCTCTTTAAACATTTTCTAAGAATAGCTGGTGGGACAGAGGGGGGCAGACAGTCCCAGAGAGAGCCAGAAAGAGAGCTGCAAAGAGAGAGAAAACCAATGTGGAATGGACAGCCGGATAGGCCGTAATATTTTCATCTCCTGATTCTGCTCCTCCTCCTCCTGCTGCTTTTCCAATGTGGCGCTGGAAGGTGACACTTTTGTCGCTTCTATTCTCTCTCTCTCTCTCTCTCCTTCTTTTATTACTTCTTGGTCTGCTTCCTTATGTCTCCCATTCTTTCTGGGAGACATTAATTCTTATCAGCAATGATTCTTCTCTTTGATTCTTCTATTAAGCTCTGTTTTTTCTCCCTTGATTGTATTCCTCTGCCTAAATTTTAATGCTTCTTCTTTGGAACATTCCTTTCTAAGGAAATCCAGTTCCCACTCTTCTTCTGAGGTTTCATCTTCTGAAAATTCCAAGCCCAGCTTTTAGTTCCAGCTTCCTTCCCCTTCCACTGCTCTTTCTCCACCCCTTTCCACATCTACTTCTACTTCTTTCTTCTTCTCAACCCATTTTCTTCTCTTTCTTCTTCTTCTTCGCTATACTTCCCCTTCAGTGCCTAATCCTTTCCCTTGTCCTGGTAAACGGTTTTTTTCGTTCCATTTGTGTGTTGTTTTTTTTTTTTTTTTTTTGTTGCATGTCGATCGAGTTTTTTGCGCGCTCATTCGCTTTACCCCCGGAGACGGGACGGCGGCGCCTGCGCAGATGCGAAGCGTGTAAAAGGATGCTGCTAATGTCCTGGCACTCCCTGCCGTGCAGAAGAAGAGGAAGTAGGAGGAGAGCCAAGCAGCGCGTCTCGGTCTTTGTGCCGTTTAATCAAACGCAATTCATCTCAGGACCAGCGGCAGAAGCAACGCCGGTAGCTGTAGGGAGGAACCCTGGATGTGTTCGGTTGGAGGGGTTGGGGGGGTTGGTGCGGGTACGTGACAGGACAGCAGCCCGCGTTCGTCCTGTCGCTTGTCGCTTGTCGCCTTGCAATTATTTTTTATGCAATTTTTACCGATCGGCCGGCTTTCCTTAAAGTTTCCTTTTTTTTATTTTCGCCTCCTTTTCCCATAATTCCTTTTGTTCTCGCGTTTTTTTTCTTCTTTCTTGTGTGTGTGATTTTTTTTGCAACCCCCGAAGGAGGTCTCAAAGGATCGTCAGGGACGACTTCGTTCTCTCTGTGTGTGTGTGTGTTTGTGCGAATTGTGCGCCCAGGTAGCCCTCGTCCTCTGACCAGGTCCTGTCCCCCCCTCCCGTGTGTGTGTGTCTGTAACGGCATTTTTTTTCTATGCAAATTTTTGTTCTTGTCCCTCCCGTGATATTAATTTTTTATGCCCCTCGTGCGTCGCTGTGGCAGGGGCAGTGGCAGTCCCGGTTCCGCATTCCCCCACCCCAAAGACGCATTTTTTTCTTATTGTTTTTTTTTTGTTGTGTGTGTCCCTGGAAGGAAGGACCCGTTTTTTGTGTGTCAGTCGGCGTTTGGGTTCCTTTTGGGTGGTGGCCAAAAGATTTTCCCAAGATATGAGGCCGCGGGGATGGGGTGCGCGATGTGTCACATGTGTGAGGCAGGCAAAGGAGGGTCCTGGTGCTGGTGCTGGTCCTGGACCGGAATGGGACTTTGGGAGTGGGAAAGCTGATGTGCCGGCTGCTGATGCTGCTCTCGTCCTTTCGCATTGATTACCGTCGCTTTTTTAATTCAATTCAAACAAAGATGCAAACAGGAAGATGGGAAGACAGGACTCACAGCCTCACAGCCACCCCAGACCTAGACCTAAGACGGGCAATTGTCGTAACCCTCTGCCGTAAATTTTTTGGCTCTTGTTTTTCTGTTTTTTTTTATTTCATTTTTTTTTTTTGTAAGTTGATCGCTGCATAATTTTCCCTCTGATATTCACGGGGTTTGTTTTTTTCGTTGCCCAAGTTTTGGTTTAAATGAGCAAATCCTCAGCATTTCTTCTAACGAAAATGCATTCGTTTTTAACGGAAAATTTATGAGCATGAACAGAGCAAAGGGTTGCCTCCCCATTTGCCCATTTGCCCATTTACCCATTGCTCCTTTCGCCTTTTTTTTTTTGCCAGCTTGTTGCGTGTTGCAGATAGACATCCTGCGGTGGCCTTCCCTTCGCAGCGATCTTTTTGTGGAGAAAAGAGTGGCATTTTTTGTCTCTTTTGACGCAAAAAAAAAACAACTACAGAATGGCATATGGAAATTTGATCTGAGGTTTTATCTGGGGGTTACTGTAACGGTTTTTGGGAATGAAACGGTTCTGAGTAGCCGATCATCAAATGGGTTTGTTTTACCCAGAAATAGCAGATCCTTGAGTGCTATTTTGTATCGTTAAAAAGTGTACACTGTGTACAGTCTTTTGGGGGATAATTGAGTATTGGTAAATATACATACATATTATATTTAATTAATTTAATTTAATATTATATATAATTATATTATACATATTATACACATTGCTTCTTTACATATGGGTTCTTATGGGTTCAATCAGTTTGGAGAGCAGTCTTGAGATCTTTGAGAGTACAAAATTAGCAGCCAACATTCTGAGAGTGAAAATGCCTTGAAATATAAGTCCACTGAGCATCCTTACTATAAGATTTCTGTGAGTAAAACTATCAGAGAATTATCAAATATAATTGCTAGAAAAACTGCTTTAAGAAGTTTCCTTAAG